CCGAATCACATGACCTAGACGCCCCGCAGCGCTCAGCCAGACCGCTGTCCCCGAGGGGCAGGGCAGATTCTCGACGCCACAGCGTTTGGAGATCGCGTCTGTTACAAAGCTCAACTCGAAGACGTGTATCCCCCTCCGACCTTCAAAATCTGTCCCGAGGCAAGCCACGTAAAGGTCACCCCCACCCACCAGAGCCTCTGGTCCCAACCACACGATCCATTCACGGGCCAAATGTCACTCTCCCTGTGCCTTTCCGGTGGATTAAAGGTGCTTCTGTTTTTGTGAGTTTTAAGTAAATATTTGTATTGTATTGTCATGAACATTCAGTGTCCCTGACTTTCAATCACACATGTAAACCCAGCTCGGTCCCAGTCCCACTGGGAGAAGGGGACGAGGGGCGGGTGCCCACTCTGGACGCAATCCGAGCCTGCCGAGACGTGCGAGCCGCAGCGCCCGGGACCGGAACACGCCGTAAATCGGAAGTGTGCCCAGAGCAGCGAGAAGTCACGCCGCCATGTAAAGAGCAGGTGCCAGTACCCTTTCCAGCAAGATTTCATTGGCTCTGGATATTTTTTTTTACTGGGGAGGAAAAAAAGAATTTGATACTTTACCTTTTCTCCGCGCACTTAGATGCGCAGGCGGGCTTGAGTGGACTTGGAGTGCGTCCTTTTCCCGTTTGGCTTCCTGCAGAGCCTGGCGGGGGAGTGTCCAGGGCAGGAAACCCTGTTTTCTGTAGATGACAAATGGAAGCCGGTGCTTGTTTTCACACTTCTCCCTTGTGGTGCTATCTGTTTGGAGATCTTGAAGGCGGCCTGGGGGTACCTGGCCATGCCTCATCCCCCCCCACGTTCCTCCACAATCTGCATTTTTGCCAAGGACGTTAAGATAAACGCATGTAGCCTTGCTCCCCACTGGGCCCCTGGCTCTGACGCCCCCCGATGGTGTTCGGGAGGCCTGTGACCGGTATTAGGTGGTGCGTCTGTGACCTGAACACGCACAGCACAAGACGCTCTCCGCATTGCGTACGGTGTCACCATCGCAGAGCGCACTCGGCTGCCGGATGTTTGTGGTGCTAACTTCTGTCCCGAGAACTGTACTGAAGCCGTTCGGTTGTCCCCGTGCAGACGGCGGCCTCCACGGACAGAGCCACGTGCGAGGAAGTCTGTCCCCGGCGCCGCCGGCCCCCGGAACGCAGCGTGCATTTCCATCGGCGGCGCACCGGGTGCGGCCTCGGCCAGCCAGGCTCCTCTGGGAGTCCTCTGAGCGCGAGGCGAGGGGCTGCCTCGTGGGCGAGGACCCGCGGGCCGGCGGGGAAGAGAGGCGTCCCTTTACTGTGAAAAGCTGGCCTCGTGCAATGCCCTTGCTCTCTGCGACGAGAGAGGCCGGGCCCCGGGGCCCTGCTCAGCCCCCTCGGGAGCAGCTGTGGCCTGTCACAGCTCTGGTGCTGTCCCCTGCCCACCCTGGCCCATCGGAAAACGGCTCCCGCTGAGGAAGCCACTGCAGAGCCACCCAGGGGACTGGGTCCCGCTCTTGCCAAAGGAAGTCTGGCTTCGCGTGTCCCTCGACCCCGGGACCTTCGAAGCACGCGCCCGTGACTGTCACGTTCATCTCTTCACACGCAAAGCCATACCCTAGGATCGCCACGCCCCGTGGGTCCCTCTAGGTCATGTGATTCCGGTTTGACTTCTCATCCCTCCTGAACCTGCCTTTTCTTGTCACTTTCTTCCTCCGTTGGTCCCTTCAAAGCTGTTGTAATTTGTACTGAAGTCAAAACGTCTCCCCAGACCACCTGGCTACCGTATATTGCAATAAAATTACTTCTTATATTTGCAGAAATTCTTTTGGCGTAATTTTATTTTTTCTTCTTAATCTATATAATTGGACACGTCGATGAATAGAAAGCAAAAACAGCAAACAGAAAACCCGTGGTAAAGATCCTAGGACATTAGGCCCTCGAAAATACAACGTCAAATGACACGTTGTACATTTGCGACAAATCAATACACGTGTTCGTGAGTTTCAACTGTAACGCCCAAGAAAGGGTGTTTCAAAATATTTTAAAGCTGTGTAACAGAAGAATAATTGTAAGTTTTTCAATAAATCAAGTTTCCTGTTTCCACAGTAAGTGCATGTGATTGGCTGTCTTCTTACACGTGACCAGAGCCTTCCCTGCATCACCCCCAGGGGTGAACCCAGTCGCAGGCCAGTAGAAGCTCCCGTCCTGGCCGTGGTCACAGCAAGAGGAGGGGGCGCTGCCCAGGCCACCCGCCTGCAGACAGAGCTGTGCCCTGGGTGCCGCTCGGACACAAGGCTTCCTGGGGGGCTTCCACAGCCCTTGGGTGTCTGGACCTTGACGGTGTGTGCAGGCCTCGCCCTCGCCCTGGGCAGTCAGCGCCTTGGGGTGGCACATCCCCGGGGCAGTCCCGCCCTGCTGTCCAAACACACAGCAGGGTCACACATCCCGGCCCCTTGGGCTGGGTTGGGCGTGCGACCCATCCTGGCCAATGACCCTGAGTGGAAGTCACGCATGGATCTTCCCGTCTGGTAGTGGTTCCCTTCTGCATGTCACCGGCCACGTTCCACAGAGCGGCCGCACCCCCAGCAGGTTCCCGGAGGAAGTCCCTGGCCAACCTTGGACTGTAGCACAAGCGAGAAAAACATCTGTCTTCCTTGAAGCCAGTGTTGTCGGAAGCTGTCCAGCCGCAGAACCCACGCCGGTGCTTGTCGGACGGACTCTGGTCCCCAGCTTGGCGGCCACAGCGCTGTCTCACTGGAGCTGCAAAGCCCTGGGCGTCACCCGCTGCAGATGCGCGGACTCGGTCCCCTAGGGGAGGCCCGTCCTCTGTGGTTGGATAAGGCCTCCTGGTGACTCAGTGTGTGCTCAGAGCTGACATCCACTGACCTAGGCCATCCTGAAGGAGAGCGACCACGCAGCCGAGGGCAGGGAACTGCCTTCACAACAGAGGGACGTCGGCAGCGTCCCCAACATCAGGCCTGGAGGCTGGAACTCTCATCAGAGGAGGGAAGGCCCCCGTCGCCAAAGCAACGTGTGGTCACATGGTTGTTTGCTCCCTGTGACAGCTTGCCGGCGTGTAGGTCGGGAGGGGTAGAGGGTGGCACAGGCTGGCCGCTCCGATTGCCCTTGGCCAGTGTGACATGAAAGACAGAAGCTCTGGGAAGACGGGCTGGAGCAGGATGAGAGTCCACAGCCTGACGGGTGTCCGGCCCTGGGGGGCAACCACTTCCTGGCGTCAAGTTAAACACGGAACTGAGAAACGCTTTGGGAGACCGACGAAACGCAAGCTCTGCCATCGTGGGTTGGAACAGCAGGCCTATCGCTTGAAATGGCGTGGACGATGGCGGAGCCTGATAAATGGCTCAGGACGGACACTCGCGGTGTGGCTCTGCCGCCCAGGCCGGGCAGGTCTGGAGGCTGCTGCGGGAGAAGGAGGCAGAGACGGACAGAGGCAGGAGCGCAGACGCCGAGGCCTGAGCCCGGCACGGGGAGCTGCAGGATCCAGCAGGCGGGGGCCCCCTGCCTTTTGGAGAGGGGGGTCCTGCAGACGGAGTCCCAGCCCCCCAAAGGAGTCACTGGCCCCCAGGCTCCAAGACAGTTCCAGGGCCCCCGGATCTGTACCGGCCACCCAGTGCCCCTTGGATGTGGCCGAAGGGGGCCTGTCACAGAAGATAGGTGCTGTGACCTCAGTCTTAAAGGTCACAGACTGAACCTCGGAAAAGGGAGGGAGGGTGGTAAGCGAGACCCTCCCGGGGGGCCCTCCATAGCCCCCCACTTCTCTGTGCATCTTCCTTCACCTGGAAACCTGGCTGAGGAAAGCACCTGCCTGTCTGCTGAGCAGAGACGAAAGTCCGCAGCGGCTGGTGCGGCCCGGCCCAGAGGGCAGCGCATGCGCACGTGTGCGTGCTCCGCTTGCCGCCCCGGCGCCCGCCACGCCCCCGCCACGCCCCCACACATCCGCCACGCCCCCCACGCATTCGTCACGCCCCCCACGCACCCGTCAGGCACCCACGCCCCCCACGCATTCGTCACGCCCCGGCGAAGGACCGTCAGGGCCCCCCCCC